CCAAGCACCCATATACACATGCATGGCATTTGTTGTATGCTGTACCACCATGAGAGGACAAGGAGGGTTAAGTACCATAGTTCAGTGCCGATTTGTTACACTGTCATTTAGAGACTAGCATCACCGACTTTAATAAAAGAATGCCTTGGGGTTGACAATGAAACTGTATTGTGTCAGTCCAATTAAATTATTAAATTAAATTTTCCATACCGTGTGAGGGGGACACCCCCTCTCGGGCGCTTACGCGCCCTCGAATTGAATTCACTCGCAGAAGTGCGCCCCCCCACTTTCAAAATCGCTCCAAAGCCTATGTATATATATATATATATATATATATATATATATATATATATATATATATATATATATATATATACACACTTATGTGTGTATGTATAATTTATGTATGTATATATATCTATATCTATATCTATCTATATCTATCTATCTATCTATCTATATATATATATATATATATATATATATATATATATATATATGCACACACATAAGTGCATATATATATATATATATATATATATATATATATATATATATATATATATATATTTATGTATAGGCACACACACATTTACATAGATATATGCGCAAACATAGATAAATGCGTAAATGTAAACATTTAACTATATGAGCTTTTTGTTATATAAATGTGTTTTGAACACATTTACTGATACTTAAATATATATATATATATATATATATATATATATATATATATATATATATATATATATATATCATCACCATCATCAGCCTGATTCAATCAATTATAAGACGTAGGCCTCTCCTAAATTTTTCCCCCAAATTTCGTTATTTCGTCACGCCATTTTGTCATTGGTCTGGTCCTTGGCCTCTTTATGTTATTTGTAGCCCAGGCTGTTATTGTCTTTGTCAATCTGTCCTCGTATCTCTGACATATATGACTTGCCCATTGCCATTTTTTCTTTTTGATGTTCCCAAGTATATTTTCCACTTTTGTCCGTTCCCTGGTCCAATCTCTTAGGTTAATTCCCAGCATCAACCTCATCATCCCTCTCTGGGCACTTATTAGTTTTCTCTCAGGTAATTTGGTTGTAGTCAATGTTTCTGATGCATAGGTCATAACTGGGAGGCCGCATTGGTTAAAGATTTTTCTTTTCAAACATAATGGCAAGGAGCTTCTTAGTATGCTACTGTGTCTGTCGAAGGCGCTCCAGCTTAGCCTGATACGTTGTTTAATTTCCTCTTCGTTAGATGTGATTGTCTTTGCAACTTGCCCTAGATACATATATGTCAACTACCTCTGGTATTTCACCTTGTTTTTATATATGTTTGAATTGAACTCTACTGAAGATGATCTTAGTCTCTTTCTTGTTCATCCTAAGTCCGACTTGCATGTCTTTCTCTATTCAGATCGTTTATTAGTTGTTGCATTTCATTTACAGATTCCCTGAAGAGAACAATATCATCTGCAAATCTTATATTGTTTAGGTTTTCGTCTCCTATTTTGATACCCTTTTTGTTCCATTCTTGTTTCTTGAATATTTCCTCAAGGCAAGCTGTAAACAGTTTTGGTGAGATGGTATCGCCTTGTCTAACACCTTTTTAAATTGGTATTTTATCGGTTTCCGTGTGGAGCTTGATGGTTGCTTTTCGCATATATCTTCCAATATTTTACGATATACCTCTTCTACTCCCTGTCTTCGAATAGCTTCTATTATTGCTGACATTTGTACAGTCAGATGCGTTTTCGTAATTGATGAATGCCATACACAGGGGTTTCCTATACTCGTTTATTTTTTTCCTCATGTTTGGGTGACCGTGGTCTGATGTGCTTTGTTGTTGAGAATCCATTGCGGAAGCTTGCCTGTTCTCTAGGCTGGTTAGAATCCAGGCTATCAGATATACGTGCTGTGATGACTTCTATGAACAATTTGTAAGTAACTGAAAGGAGGCTTATGAGTCGGTAGATTTTTAGACCATTTCTATTTTATTAGTATCAAAATAATTTTTGCACTTGTCCAGGCTTACAGCGTTTTTTCCGCTTAGAAGGCATTTGTTAAAAAGATTGGAGCTATGCTTGACGTTCTTACCACCTACTTCAAGTGCACTTCCTTTATTATGTCATTGAACTGTTTGTTGATTTGGTCAATGTTGAAGTCTTCGTCGCTGATGTGCAAATGTTCATTAACATGGAGCGGACTGTTTTAACCGGAAATTATTAGCACCCTCTGCTCTGGCGCGATCCTGATCGCCGCCGTAATCAAGGGTTCCTTCGCCTCTGGGGAAAGAGGGCCGTTGCTCTGTTTGTGCAGTCATGGTTTTGATTGAAAGGTAGATAGCCGAGTTACCCCTCCCCCACCTACTGGCTTAGGTGTATCTTGGTGGGAGGGGGAGTAGTTTAGCCACTGATAAGCCCCTCTAGCAGTCCTTGTCTAGTGTGGACTTATGAAACTTACAGTGCGATTCGTAATTAATGAAAATATTAAACCTCATTTTA